AGATGAGTCAAGTGCATTATGGGGCCATTGTTCTAGCACTGTCAGGGCAAGAGCGGATGTGGTCAGTCACCTCCTCAAGATGGGTTGATTGTTCTCCAAGATTACACAGAGTCGCCTTATTATCCAGCCCAGACAACAAGGCAGCTCCCCCCAAACAGACATCTTTTGCAGAAACTGCCTGTGCATTGAGTTGATTTGAATTGCTAATGTATAATCTGTCTAGCACAGATGTGCAATGAATATTGGGATGTTTTGCATGTCAGTTGAGGAGGCTGAAAGATGAGGTGATGATTATTCAATGGCGGCTACTGGACATTTGCCAACATTTGAGTTCTAGCACTTTCTCCTGACACCAATCAGATCATCTTGCAAAGCCTCTTTTCTTTTGTCAATTTGGTGACAATTTGTGTAAAAATATAATACAGACCCTTTCTCCTCTTCTAGTTAACATATTTAGTAAATCTTTTGCATTTTGATCTAATAAAAAACAAAACAAAACAAAACGGCACACACAAGCAAACACGCTATACCTGGTTATTTTTCTGAATCTTTTTATGCTTCTATTTCCAATATGAAAGTTTATTTTTTAAAAAAATCTTCAACCTATCCATAAAGTATCACCAATTTAACAAATAGAAAAACATACAAAGATATAGGGATATTAATAATGGTGAGAAGAGTTGTTATCAAGCATTGTATTAATGTAGATCTAGAAGACACAACAACAGGAATGAAAATATGAGAAAACAGGGTAATAAATAAAAGAGAAAATGACTGCAATATTTTCTATTAACTGTGCATTGTATTTTCATGGAACAGTTATCAGCTGATCCAACATGTTTAGCTGATTATTTGACTTTTTAACCAATAATCAAAACTCCAATATGTACCTTTCTTGAAACATTAATGCAATTGTGAAACAATTCACAATTTAACAAAGGTTTACCATTCATAAAGAAAAGTCATTTTATGACATTCTGTTAACAGAAACAACCAAGACAGCTTTTTTTAAAAAATTGCAGTGTTCACCAGTTCCAACTTCACAGATTAAAATAAGTTCCAAATAAACACTTTTGTGCTCTTACTGATTAATACGTAACTCAAAACATTTATTTTGTAACCAGAATATTCTGAGCAGAAAACAATACAGTATCACTTTAGACCATGTGCATGCAAGTGGATGGGGGGGGGGAGCAGGTGTCTGCCCAGGGGGACAAGAGGGGGGGTGAGTGTGTGTGTGAACAGGTGGGTAGGGAGTTCATGTGTCCGTGCGTACGGGGTGTGTGCGGCAACATATACACACATGCAAGCACATTCCTGTTCCTCTGGCCCTCAAAAATGTTGGAAATATCCGGTGTGGCCCTCACAGTCAAAAGTTTGGAGACCCTGGTGTAAGACATCAAGCTTAGTTTACTTTCTCGAGGAAAAGCATAAAAAATGTTGTATCTCCTGAACTAGGAGATGATTATTTTGTTTAAGGTATTTAAAACTGCAGCAACAATCCAGCATAGATATTTACCTTTGTTAACATTAAGTTGGCGATTATTCTGATGGAGTATTCTAGTCCCGCCCTCCTCTTGTAAACATGGGGAGGGCAGCACACCTAGCTCTGTTCAATCCTTTATCATGAAACCAAGTAGGGCACAATGGGTGATTTTCCAGCAGGACAGATGCCCCATCAGACTCCATGCAAGAAGTTGTTCTGTTCAGACTCATTATCTATGAGCTGTCCAGGGTGGGAGAAATGATGGAAGAGTTGGGCTAGGGCACTCCCAGTGAATGGTGTTTCCTAATATTAATGCATGAATAGACCTCTAATAATAATGTGCCATCAATTCTAATTTATGGTGATATTTGCTAAGATTTTCTAACTACTGTACTCAGAAGTAGCTTACCAGGCTCTCCTGATGACACTCTGGAACTGTGCAGCTTACCCGAGGCTACACAGGTGATAGAGCATATCAGCTCACCAGCCATACACACACTGCATTATCTCAGCTGGTTCTTCTCTTGGGAGATACAGTGGGGACTCGAATTCTTGGCCCTAAACTCTGAAGCCAGGTATTCTAACCCACTAAGTTATAGGGCTTTAGACACACTTTTTCCACTGAAATCAACAGAAACAGATCAGATGAAATGACTGCTGGCTTGCAATTTTACAAATGGAAATGAGCAGCAGCTTCTTCTACCATTTTTTTACAAACTGAAATATTTTGTATGGGATAGAAAATAACTTGATTATTTTGCAGAAAGCATCTTGAATTACTGTTTTGCAAACAGGGCTTTCATTATGACCTATACTGTACCTGCAACAAGTGTTTCTTTTCATATTTCTACCATCTAACTTTTGTTTAACATTTATCTTGAGAAAGAATTTAATGAAACTCGAAAGCAACTTCATTTGTGACTTCTAAACAGTCTTTTAACAAATTGTAATGAGTTATGCTATCAGGTTTCTGCCAGTAGGACTATCACTGCAGGCTGGTTTTAGTCTTAAGGCAAATACCTGGTCAGAATCTTAAACTTGTCACTTGACAAAGAAGATATTAGGACGTTAGGATATTCTGGTGGTGTGTACCTATGGAAGTTAAGATTGTTAAGAAGACTGCTCCTGACAGACAGATCTTGTCTTCAGAATGACTCAAAAGGAGACTCATTCCTAACCTCAAGACCAGGGGTCTCCAAACTTTTCAATATGGGAGGCACATCATATATTTTATACATTTTCAGATGGGGTGGGGGATTGCTTCTGTCAGATTTTGCTCCTCTTCCTATGCCCGCCTGGGCATAGGAAGAGGGCACCCAAAACAGGGGGGTGGGGGAATCACTTGAGTCCCCCTTCCCTCCTCTTCCTATGCCTGGACCACGCCAGATACAAAGGCAAGGCGGGCTGGATGCAGCCCGTAGTTTGGAGACCCCGGCTGTAGTTTGGAGACCCCGGCTCAAGACAATACAATTTACATTTGTTGGGCAAGGAAGAAAGGGCAGGCTGCAGGTTTTAAGTGAGACACGGCCTTAGACCCAGGAAGAGGGGACACTGGTGATGTCCCTCTGAATATATCATCTGGTGGATCACTCTGTGACTGGTGAGCTACACTATACACTATTTCACTTGTCAGTTTCTGGAAAGCTTCTAGTTTTAGTGAAAGCGATTTATCTGGAATATATGGAATTGACACAACCATGTGGGTTAGGAAATGTTTGCATCAGCACCTGATACATTTAGGTTTTGAAGAGACTTAAGGTGTGATGGGACAAAAAATGGGTCATATTTTGGACCGCTTGTGGCACGCTCTGGAACAAGCTATTTTCCAGTCATCACACAATGCCCAGATTGCAAATCAGGGTCCCCTGTTTTTTGTCCCCGACTTCCTTACCAAGGGGTGGAGAGGTGCAAACAACTGCTTGCCCATTTCTATGTTTTGGAGAATCGTTCTCCTGCTTCCCCCAAATTTGAAATGCACGATCACAGTGTTGAAAAAACTGCCAACATTCTCTGAAACCATAAATACTATACAAACCAGGATAGGCAACTGCCAGAGGTTGCACATGCACTTTGACTTCAGAAGGTTGCTCCCCCCCATTCCCAACTTCTATTTTTAAAGAATTGTTCCTTAAAAATCTCTCCATAGCACCAACGGACACAGGAGGCAATTTCACCATACTGTATTGTTTACTCCCTCTGAATTGTTTTAGGGTTTTAGGACCAGGAAGGATAATTTTTTTTTGCAAAAAAAGAAATGATTGGACATCACTTTCAGTTTTGAAAAAGCCTCACCATCCTAAAACAGCTTGTGGGGAGCAAAAACTGTGGCAAAATTGTCTTAATACTCCCTAAGGGCTTCAGTATGGAGATTTTCTGGGAAAAAATTCCATGGGGGGGGGAGAGAAGAGTGCATTTTTCCTGCCTCTGCTGTATCCTGTGTGATGGGTACAGTGTTATGAGAGTGGTTATACCATTTGACATCACTGGACTCCTTCCCTTCACCAGTTTTAAAATACGTTTGCATGAACACTTTGGGAAAACTGACACTTTTATTGTGATCTTACTATGGTGCATCAAATAGCACAAGGGTCAAAACTACCATAATGCCAGTTTCAAATGTACGGGTATTTCATTATATGCCAGGATTGGATCCAATCTTAAAGACCAAAATATATACAGTGGTGCCTTGCTTAACGATGTTAATTGGTTCCATTAAAAAAATCGTTATGTGAAAACATTGTTAAGTGAAACACCATTTCCCATAGGAATGCATTGAAAACCGGTTAATCCGTTCCAATTGGAACAGATTAATGCTTGTAATCATTAGCCCACCTCCTGAAACCTACGCAAACTTAATTTGGTGTTGTTCTGAGTCATCGTTAATTTTTGGTGATTTTTTCTCTCTCTCATTGAAAAGCATTGGACCGTCCAGCTTCAGTGCTTTTGAAGTCCTTTCCGATGTCCGTTTTCGCTCATTTTTAAGTGTCTTACAATGTTTGGAACCTGTTTTAAATGCTTGCAATCATTAGCCCACCTCCTGAACCCTATACAACCTTAATTTGGTGTTGTTCTGAGTCGTCGTTAATTTTTGGTGATTTTTTTGTTTTCTCCATTGAAAGCCTTTGAACGGACCATTCAAAGGCTTTCAATGGAGAATTTAAAAAATCACCAAAAATTAACAACGACTCAGAACAACACCAAATTAAGTTTGCATAGGGTTCAGGAGGTGGGCTAATGATTGCAAGCATTTAAAACAGGTTTCTAACAGTTTAAGACACTTTTACAGGAGCGAAAAAGGGACATCGTTAAGTGAAATTCCCCCATAGAGAACATCGTTAAACGATGGGGGAAATTCCTCAAAGAAACCCATCGCTGTGTGAATTCATCGTTGTATGAAGCAATCGTTGTGCGAGGCACCACTGTATATATATATCCTCAGTGGAATTACAGCTTGCAAAGGGTATAGAACAGTTTCATCCACTGAATGCATAAAAAATCAGACACTGCAAACCACTAAGCTGTACAATGGAGAATCAATTTATTGTGTCAAACTACAAATATGCTGATACAACTTTTCAGTGAATGCTTGTGATGAAAACTTCTCTAGAACTCTGGTTCTCCCTGCAGTCCCCATCCTCTTCTTTAAGGCAGGGTCTTTTACAAATTTCTCCATGACCTCTGAAAACTGGGTGGGAAGAGGATCGCACAAGAATCCTGTCTCATTATTTACAATCGATTCCAAAGGTCCCCCTGAATTTACTGCAATGACTGGGCATTTCATGTACATGGCCTCTAAAGGAACAATGCCAAAGTGTTCATTACTCGGTGTATATAGCACACATAGGCAGCTACTGAGGAGGGCTATTTTCTGTTCATCAGAGAAAGATCTCAGGAACGTGACCTGCTCAACAATATTAAGCTTAGCAGCAACAGCTTTTAATTCTTCATAATATTCTACATTTTCTTGAACTGCTTCATCATAACCACCAGCCAAAACCATATGAACTTCACTCCACTCTTGAGCGTTAAGTCTACCACGAAGGTCATGTAGAGCTTTTAAAGCCAATACCAGATCTTTCTTCCTTTCATACCTATTGATGGAAAGAAACAAAAATTTCTTGCTGTTGGGGACTATGCTGGATGCGTCTGCAGAAAAAACAGTATCAAATCTACTAAAATTTAAGGAAGGGTATAATACGTCTGGATTCACATGAGACAAGGTTTTGAAGGTTTCTTTGAAAACATTTGCTGTGAAACAACTGTTGACAAGAATACAGTCAGCCATGCCAGTAGTGTACTCCTCCAACCAATCCAGTGGTTTTCTGTAGATCCGTTTAATAAATGATTTCCTCTGGGTCAGAAGCTGATCAGGGAAGTGACAGTAAAACAAAACTTTCTTATGGGTCCGGGCTAGACGAAGAATTGGAATGCATGCAGACACCTGGAGAAACAAAGAAATGAATGACAAAGACTACTGCAATGTTAACAGTGTCTAAGATCTTATCCCTGCCTGATTACTCTTTGATTTTGCTCAACCCCTGAACTCTCCTAGTGAACATCCCTGATCTGAGCCACCCCAGCTATTTAGTCCAGGATAGCTATCCTCCACTGCCACACTTTTTATAGGTTTCGTAGATACTACTATCACCAGTCACTGTTATGTGCCATTCATTATGTGTCATTCTCTTAATTTTGCAAAATTCTTCCTTTTTCTTTGGAACTGTTGCCTAGTGAGTGTGAGGGTGGTGGAGGAACCTGAAGCAGAGGGAACCTCCTTACACTTGACCTGACCTTACCAGAAGTAGCTGAAAGCACCCTTTCCTCCCTGGCTGCTATAGCTTGCTGCAGCAGTTGTAATCATGATTTTGTGTCTTTGTGTGCTGAATTATTAGATGCTTGTCTTCTCCTCTTTTAGAAAATAGCAGGTGGCTAGAAATAGTTCAGGTAGTTTCAGGTGTGCCTTCTGTCTAAGGAGGATATGGTAGCAAGATGCTCTACTGCTTCTTCCAGAAATATGCCCTTTCTGGCTCCAACAGTTATTGTTACAGGCCCATCCCAGTTTTCACTGCTGTCCATCTGTGATGATAACATTTTAATTCTTTAAAAAGCAGGGATCGGCAGTTTACAAAGAGACTGTGTACACTCTTTAATTTCTTTTTACTGTTTTCTGAACATACAGCAATATGAAACTATGCAGATGAGGCATAGATTGTCTAACTCACTGAGAATAAGACCAATTAAATAAAAAAAACCTTCCTCTGCTTAATTCCTGTGATGTTAGGATTTTTAATGAAAAAAATCCCTAATATAAAACTCTCAGATTAACAGAAATCATACTACAGTAGTGGTGGCTGGAGCACCCTGCCTCAGACCATGCATAATCAGCCCACTCTTGCCTGGTTCCTTACTAAAAGTCAGAGAACTCTGCTTGCTGCACCTCTTGTTGCATTCCCAGTTTCCCAAACCCTATGGCTTTGTAACGCCGGGGGTGGGGGGAGGAGGAAAAGACAGAAACCGCAATAAGTTTCCTCCTTGGCTTTGCCCAATGCTGACTGTTAGGTGTTTGTCTCCACCAACCTTAATAGATACCAGACAACACTGTGTTCTAATCTGCAAATTATAGTAATGGCTGATTTTGTGGGGAAAGGCAGGTCTGAAACAGCAGCCTTGTCTCTTCTTGTCCTAGCCAGTGAATGCCATACTTCATAGTTATCTCCTGCTTATCCAATACCTACTTAGTCAATACAATTTTGGCCCAGATTCAGATTTTGATTTAAACACCAGGAGATTGGAAGCAACACATTACAAATAATCACGAAGTTTGTAACAACTTATTTTTGCCTTACATTTCTGGAGAATAACAACCCTGTATGGTGGCATTATTTTAAAAAAACCTAACAAGCAAAAGCATTATTACTTTTTGTATAATAAAGCAGGTTAAATTGCTTCCCCGAAGCTTGTGTTTGTGATCATTTTTCGCTATCTTTACCAGGTATCAAATTTCAATTTGAGAATAAAAGAAAATTACACACTAATAAAAATATCAAACCCTGGCCAAGCCTGCCATGACATTTCGTCTTTTATAAATCGATGCACTGGAAGGCGTTTATTTCCAAGCCGCAGGCAGCTTTACACAGAGGCGGCCTCATGTTTTCAGGACAAGTGGTTCCCCACCTTGGATAACCAGCTGTTCTTGGACGGCAGCCCCCAGAATCCTTCCCCACCAGCTGCGCTGGCCAGGGTCTCTGGGCGTTTCAGTCCCAAGAATACCTGCGTTATGTAAAGCTGGGGAGGGGGGGTCCACTGTCTTGGGAGGGGGGGAACAGGGAGCTGCGCGTCTCGCGCTGGCCGCACCTGATCGCAGAAAAAGACGTCGAACTCCTCCCCGCTGAGCAGCAGCACGTGCAGAGCCAGCCACACCATGCGCAGGGCAGCACAGAGCGCGTGCCCCCTTCCCAGGATGCTCCGGGGCAACCAGCCGCCCGTGGTCCGCACGTCGAGCTGGCGCGTTTCCGAGAAGCAACGCGCGGGGTCGTAGCGGGGCGTCCAGATCTGCACGCGGCAGCCCCGCGAGCGAAGCGCTAGCGCCGCGTCCACAACCAGCCGCTCCGCCCCTCCGATGCCCAGATCCGGGTGTAGAAAGAAAACGGCCGGGCCGCCCCGCTCCTCGCCCTCCCTCGTTTTCGTTTCAGCATCCGCGCCTGCCATGATGACGTCCCCCACACTCAAGCTTCCGCACCACGTGGCGCTGCTCTAACACGCATGCGCGGAGCATTCGGCCACCTCAGCCTTAACGCGCTCCCTCTTATAGGTGTCTAAGGAACTGCCCGTTCCTTGCTGCTTTCGGGTGGTGACAGCGAGGGACGACGAGACAAGCGGAAAGAAGCCCGGGTCCATAGTCGTCGCGTAGCTAATAGTATGTGGCCCGGTCCGTGAGTGTGTGTGGCAGTGAAAAGAAGGAATTCGAGTCGGGCATGGACAGAGGCAGCAGGAGAGGGCCTTCTAAGTCGAAGCGAGCGAGGGCCTCAGCTCAGCTGACGAGAGCGGACGGACGTGTCCGGTAGGCTGAGAGGGGTGGAAAGCCTGGTTCCTCGGGCGTGTGGTGATTTTTCGCAGCGCTCGTCATGGTAAGAGAGCGGTGGGGTCGGAGCAGGGTCTGAGCGGGTGGGCACGTGGGGCGGGACGTGTCCTCAGTAACGCCAGTGGCTTTCTTTCTTTCTCTCTCTTTTCCTTCGCCCGGTTCTCTCTCAGCCTGGCCCCAATCCCAGCGCAACCAGTGTCGGCGCCTCCAGCCGTTCGCCTAGCAAAGCGGTGGCCCCGCGGGCCGCAGGATCTACCGTACGGCAGAGGTAGGCGGACTGTTGGCGCGGGTGGTTGACTTACCTCGTGCTGATGTGGGTCTGAGGGAACCCCGGGGAACGGTAGCCCGCCGTCAGTTTGTGCCGCTGCGCTCGGTCAAAACCTTGTTTAATGGACTTCAGCCATATATACATTTTGGATCCAACGTGTAGGCCCTCCAAGAGCGCAGATGTGGCCTGAGCCATTTCACATTGTGAAGCCCCTTGGTTGTTTGGGAAGGGAGATAGAAACATTTTAATGTAAAGAAAGACGTACACAATTTAATTCATATAGTATATGACTGTGCAACATTCTCTATCTTTAGATATTTGACCCCGTTGGCCCTGAAACTTAAAGATAAAACTATTTAAAATAATATAGTCATATACAGGCACTAATAACATAAGTAACTTTTTATCTTGAAAACGTTGCAGGGACTTACCCCATGGAAACCGAAGCTTTAAAAATAATGGTTATTGTGGGCGCCAGTCTTTGTGGCTGGCATCTTCAGAGAAGATGCCGGCCACAGAGACTGGCGAAACGTTAGGAAGCACAACCTTCAGAACACGGCCAAAGAGCCCGAAAAACTAACAACAACCATTAGATCCCGGCCGTGAGAGCCTTCATGAATACTTTTAAAAATACTGTATAAACTCAGTAAATCAGAAATTAAGTAATATAGCATGAAAAACAGGCAAAAGGAACTGCCATTATCAAAAATTTCATTATGTTACTGGCTTATCAAATGTACTAGATAGGAAGACAGTACTTGTGATTATGGAGACAAATTAAGTGTCTGAATCCTTTCACCACAGGGGAAGGGTCCTTTTGCATTCTTGCTGTTGCAGCCAGAAAAGGCCCTTTTGATTTCCTGATAAGTTTTCCACACTATGAAAACTCTGGCTGTGGGATCTCACCAAAGTAAAGGCTTCGAAACAGTTCAGTTTCTGCCAGCTCTTTAAAGGCCTTAATAGTTACTTTTTTTTTTGTTCTGTGTATACCGAGAGGGTGATTGCAGCAACCTGAGAAATGTCAATGGTGGAGCTATAGTATTGGTTTATAATTATATATAAATAATTAAAATAACATTTAAAATGGCAGTTGCACAAAGAGGAAACATAGCAAAAGCAGACCTAAATATTTTGTTATTGGTGAACTTAAAGTACTGATTTTTCTCTTACAGAAAAAATGCTAGTTGTGGAACAAGGAGTGCAGGTCGTACAACTTCTGCAGGCACTGGAGGGATGTGGAGATTCTATACAGAGGACTCTCCTGGTCTCAAAGTGTGAGTAAAAGTGCAATAGTGGACTCATTTATTAGCATAGTTTTTGGCTGCTTGCAGAATTATACTAAGGCTGGATAAATTTCAGATTACAGGGCATACTTTGGAACCCTGTGAGCCACAAGGTGCCAGTTGCGCTCTCTCTCTCTCTCTCTCTCTCTCTCTCTGATGTTAAGCAAAACATCTGTAGGTTCAGAGAGTGCTCACCCTTGGTTTAGAGGGTCTGCAAAGTTCATATGTTTTCTGCTGGAATGATTTCCTTTCTAAGTGAAGAAAGATGATTACTGAGTGTTAGTGCTCATCTGTGTGTGTGTGTACGCGTGTGTGCATACATGCATTCATTCATGCATACACACATACTGTACATACATACATGTTGATTCCTCAAGCCAGAATTGACCCTTTGTGTTTAAAAGGCTGTGCACTGCAGCTTCATACCAGCTGTCTTTAACTGGTATGTTTGTTAGCCTCTGACCTCACACTGCAATAATCACACTACAGTAAGTTATGGGTGGGACTTCCAGTGTTAAATTATGTGTTGCATATGGAAGGCCAAGGCTTCAGGTCCTGCCATCTTAAGCCAGGGGTGCCAAGTGTTCTATCTAAAATCCTAGAGAAATGCTACGAGTCAGGTTTCAACTGTACTAGGTTGGTTGGACACATAATCTGTCCTGGTATAAAAAAAATACTGAGTTCTATGTATGGATTTTCAGAAGTACAGTAGGTCTCACTGACTTCAAAGAGATTAGTTCCCAGAAAATTGTGTATAGAATTGGTAACTCAAAATAACTGGTGTTATGTAAGGTTAATTCACTTACAGATTTCATCATTTCTCTCTTATGATTAACTTTAACTCCTTCCCTTTTACTCTTCTTTTTTTAATCACCTTCTATCTGAAATTACATTCTATCTTGAGACTTTGTAACATTGGCAAAAAATTTGTTTCATAAATTCTGTTTGCTTAAGAATGAAAATGTCACCACTAGGGGAAGGTTTTTGCTAATGAAATGTGTTTCTGTTTTCACCTGGTGGCTTTCCAACTGGTGTGTAAATCAGTCTTGTTGCATGCGAGCTGTGCTAGCCCTGGAAGGCAAGCAGAAGTTCTTTAACAATGTTTCTCCCTGCCATTGATGTAATCATCATTTTACAGGCATAATTTATAGAACAGAATTTTGGCCTCCTATGCCTTATTTCTGACATGATTTATGCAGAGCTGGTGACAGTAATTTGTTTTTGTGGATTTCAAGAACAGCTGAAAGATGTAGCGCCCCCCCCCCCATATAGAAACTCCATTTAAGTTAGATAAAATACCTTTGAAAGAATTACTTTCCATGATTGGGTTTAGTCATTTCTCAAAATAACATAATTCTTGTGATTAATACTGCATTTTGTGATACGGAGTTCTTTAAGTTAATCATAAATTAAAACAATGTATTTTATTATTTTAAAGTATACTATTTTATATTGTTAGTTAGCCTAAGTATATATTACATGGAAAGTTGAGTTTAAAAATTCTTTAAGTAAAAATATTGTAACTACATATTATTAGAAGCTGATTTTACTTGTTGCTGTGGCTAATCAGCCTCTTTTTTACTTTTACTTTCAGTGGTCCTGTTCCAGTTCTTGTTATGAGTCTTCTTTTTATTGCGTCTGTATTTATGTTGCACATCTGGGGCAAATACACTCGGTCATAGGCTTTTCTGTGTCCTATTTTCCAACTTGAAAACTACGTTTTGGACCAAAACTGGTAGAAAATGAAGAAGATTATCTCACTTGGGTTTTGCTGAATAGGGTTTTTGATACCTTTCTGTCAAGGCTGTTCTTTTTGCATCTATACACTCAAATCTGCAGTTGACTTTATTAAAATTTGTCTTCATAAATTAAGCTTGCTGTTATTTGTCATTTCTGAATTTCATCTGAAAAAAACCCAAAACAAATTGCCCATTATAGTTGCAAAAACATTGTTCACAGCAATGTCAATTGGGAAGAAACTACATTAACATACAGGTTGGAGATTGCGGTTGTTTAGTCTTGGCCCTAATGCTATTCAAGATCTTAATTTCCTCCATGATGGAGCCCATAGACAAATGGATGATGTTAGCTAAAGAAAAAAAAACCTGTACTTGAACACTGGACAGTGTGACGGGTTTTCTGCCTCCCCGCAATCCTGCCCTTTTTATTATATTGTTTATAAATAAAATATATTTATTATGCTGGCTGGTTAGTTCAGTGAAAGTTCTGTGGAGCCAGAGGTTTGGAGTTCAGTTCTCCACTTTGCAACCTAGAAGAGCCAGCCTGTACGACCTTGGGCGAGCTGCACAGTCCGAGGGCGTCCCTAGAAGAAAAGAATGGTAAATCATGTCTGAGTAGCCTGTACCTGGAAAACCATGAAAAGGGTGGCCGTAAATCAGAACGGACTTGATCGCACACTATTATTTATTTATTTAGATTTATATTAAATTCTCTGTTTGCCTCCAGACAAAAATGATCTGATCGCTTGCAATAATTCTTGTATTTCAAATGTTTTAAGGATGTATTTAACATATTGGTTTTACATTAAAACTAAAACCAGTTACAATGGTAATTCAAGCAAGTGATTTAAACAAATACTGTTTTACAGTAGAAACGAATGAAGCAATAAAAAACAGTGCAGCAGCAAAACACAGATGGAAAACAGCTGCCCAGAACAAAAAAGCAGTGGGAAAACAGTAAACAGCGAAGCAGCACATGGCTTACGCCAAAGGAAAATGGTTTGTGTATTATGTTTTCCAGAAGCCAGTTAAGTGCTTCTTAAGTTTTTCACTATAAAGAGCACTACTCATTGGTGACATTTCACAGCCAATTTTTGCTTTGCCCCTTGTGCGTGGGAGCAGCCCCCCCCCCGGCAGTGTTCTGTTGTAACTGGAACCCAGGGCTGAAAACATTGGCTGTGGGTGTGCGGAGGAGGAGGAGGAGCCCTGTGTGAAGGGGAGGCGGAGGTGTGCAGGTGCGTACCTTAAAGAGAATCTTGTTCACAGCTATTGCTTTACCAAACTTACATGCCATATCTATGACTTCCCTGTAAAACTTGTAGCATACTAATTTTACCTAAGATATTTGTATCCTACCCTTCATTTAAGGAAAAACACTCTATATCATCTATTGTTGATGCACTTCTGCTTGTATCTGTTTTGCACTAATTTATATGCACAAGCAATTAACAAAGGCTGTGTAGAGCATTTTGTAGTGCTTATATTGGAAGTTACCAAAATAAAGTACACAGAAAGCCAGCTCCACTTTTTTCTTTATGGGGTATAGTATCACATGTTCCAGTGTTTCATAACATGCTTTCTTTTTATATTTCACTAGGTTTTGTTTCATTTGGTGCTGGGAGGGGGGATGTTTTTTGTTTTAAGTACATACAAGCCTGATCTGTATGTATGACATGAGAAACGGCAGTATGTGAACAAGATGGATTCCTCTCCCAAGTTGCTCAGAAATGCACTCTGTTCGGAGGCCTTGAATGAAGCATAGTGAGGTAGAGCAGATCCAACCCATAGCCATGGATTTCAAGTGATCGGTTATCTTCTTAATTTGCTGTATGAATCTGAAAAGAAAATAGCATTTGGAAACCAGCGTGGCAACAGCATATGTTAACAAAGCTCACATCTGATCGGCCGCTTCCTGCTGTTGTATTCTAGTCTCCTTCCAGTTGATTACGTTGAATGTAATTGGGGAGAATAATATATTGAGGAGTAAAGAGCTGTCAAAGCACTGCATTAAATAGAGTGCTATCTGCTTCACTAGTGATAAAGCAAAAAATATCTCTGCTATATGATCTGCTACTGATCTCTACTTACATACCTGAATTTATGGTTGAACCTGGGTGCCTGGTTTTTGAAATCCTTGGGAGAACTGAGATACTTGAATTTCAGCTGAGCACTTCCATTAACAGATAATAACTAGAAGTTCAGAAATATGGAGGAAAGTGTTTCTTAACATATTGCATGTGCCCCAAATCCTCCATGGGGATGGAGTTGTCAAAGGTTCCCACAGCGAGTGAGTTGAAGTTACTTTTCAACACAAACATTAATTAAACCTACAAAGTAACTCCACACTGTCCTAATCAGTTAAATCCTTTGTTGGTCTACCGTGATCAGCCAGACTCCAGGCAGGGATAGGGAATTATTACTTCACCTTCCCTTACTAATCTCTAAAGGCAGAAGGCTTCCTCATCACTGATCCCTGATTTGGGAGGAAGAGGCCATTCACTGGATGGACTGCACCTCAGCTTCAATTGTCAGATATGATTAAGTTATCTCTACCTCTTCCACCATCATGGCTGTGTTGGGATAGGTGTTATTGGGATGGGATGGGAAGGAGGTTGTAGGTGCTCCCCCGGTGCTGTGGCATCCTGGGGCAGCTGAGACACAAGGCTTGTCAGATCTCTTTAGGCTGTTCAGGCTGGGGCCACGCTAGTGATCCCACCCAGGTCTTCCCTTCATCATCTTTTCCTGCTACTTCCTCCTCCTCCTCAATAGTCCATTGACACCAGTCCTCCTCCTCCTGGTGTTCAATTACAAAGCAGAGCCTAGGGTGCTATTACCCTGATGTATGGACCCCCCTTCTGCTTTCTTCCTCTCCCTTTATACCTTTAGTGTCTCCTTTCCTTCCTTCCTTCCTTCCTTCCTTCCTTCCTTCCTTCCTTCCTTCCTTCCTTCCTTCCTTCCTTAAGGATCCTTGCCCTTTGGACTTCCAGGGTGAGCCCTCCTTCCTTATCCTCTGCCTCTCCATGAGCAACTAAGCTGGGTTGCTGACTTCACTGTTGGCAATGTAGCTGTCTTCCAGAGATGTAGCTGTCTTCCTAGAGGGGTCCTGGAGAAATCAATCTCGAGGTGACTAGTGAGTAAGGTATAGGAGACAGCCTAACACCGAGACCACAGGTGCAAAACATTTTTCCTTTCTGTTTATTTTCCTTCTTATTTTATATATTTCTCTCTCTCTCTTGTATGCATTCATAACCCAGTCCTCAGCCATCTGAGATAAACATTCAGGACTTCAGTATCTCCGGGCCATGTTCAGCTGGCACCTCTCTCAGTTTTGTTGTTTTAAAAACCCACCCTAAGGGAGGAGCTGCCTGCATCTCTAAACTGCTTAAATAAGAACAAGACGGCTGTATTTGAAGATTCTTGGCTGGAGGAGAAGAGAAAAAGTAGAAGCCTCTGGATGCAATCTTGTGCTAGAAATATATGTCCTTGCCCCTGAAAGATCTTCTGCAGAATTTCTCCAGGTCAACTGAGAATGTGAACACACACATTATTACACTGATAATGATGCTAAAAGTGTTGGGTCGCATTCTGATCACCCCTCTGGCAAACACAGGGCCTAGGTCTAGCAGGCACCATGAATGCAGCCAGCAGATCCAGAAAAATAAGATGTTATTTTTTGAGACTGTGCCTAAAAGTGTAAACAGGCTGCAATAAATTGCTAATTTTTTAATTATATTTTATCCCCATCCCCTTGAGCTGAGGGCAATACAATTGAGCAATACATCTTATCATGCTGGGAATCAGAGAATAGTGCAAACTTGTTCCTTAGAGATACATTTTGCTGTTTAGTCGTTAAGTCGTGTCTGACTCTTTGTGACCCCATGGACAAGAGCACACTAGGCCCTCCTGTCTTCCACTGCCTCCTGGAGTTGGGTCCAATTCATGTTCATAGCTTTGATGACAATGTCCAACCATCTCATTCTCTGTCGTCCCCTTCTCCTCACAGAAGATTTATTACCTTTTGAGATCTATGCACACTGAGAGCATCTTGTTATATACCGCCTGATACTCCCTGAGTGCCCCATATGTTATTATGTGTCCAGCTACCTCAGGTAGAAATTGAGTTTCTTTTAAGGAAAAGCAACTGATGTATCTTGAGGAAGTGCAGCAGGAAAACACTTTTTTGGAATCTACAAATCCAACTGCTTTAGGAATGATGGAGAACAAAAGATCATTCTGCATTAGTTCAAACAATCATACTGTCTGAACCAATGTGAGTGGATCTAATGTAAAACAAGTAGAAGCCCCAGTAGCTATGGGGAAACTATGAATGGAAGTAGGGAGAACTCTGAGCTGATTTGCGTTTCTTTTACGTTGTGTAGTCAATGAAATAAAAAATACAAATGAGCCTGTCTGAATCCTGTAGCATTTCCAGCTTTGTATGTGTGTGCCAATGTTACACTGTTGAACTACTCGAAAAAAGAAGAGGCAAAGAGGAAAATCAGTTCAAAAGCCCTAAAGACTCCTTAATAGCTACATCAAAAAGCAGAGGCAAGGCAGGCAAACCACAGTGAATTAACAAATAACACCATTTTTGAAAATCAGTTTAAGAAGAAAAACACTCTCCTCAAAGAAAAAAAAGTCAAAATAAAAAAAACACAAAAACACACACGACTGCCCTTTCTTCCCCAAACCAAGGGAAATAGGAAAACAACAACGAAAAGAGGCAGAAATACAGTCAAAGCAGTCATCTCAAACCAAAACAATTAGAATAGGGAGATTTCTCTCCCTCACACCACTTGGTGCCTTCTCTTCTTTGAATCCACCACCATTAGGTGGCAGCAGCAGACAACAAAAACACAGGAAAGGAAGGAGTGGGAGAAGGAAAATCCCCCTCCCCCAGTCCAGAGAAATAAAGATAAGAATCCAGAGGCACAGATAGCACAATCAAGATGGAGGGTACCACAAAACTCAGCAGCACAGAGATCCCACCCACAAGAACCGGCTGAAGTAAAAGAACACTCACTCCTCATTGGATTCTACAACCAATCCAGGTCTTCTACAATTCAAAATTCCGTCCTCACTGACTGTTCTGATTTCCTGTTGATAGCAGCTCTTGTGATACTATTTGATTAA